ATTACATCATAGCTGTTTCGAAATTTCAATGGTTTGCCGCTATATGGCGATCTATGTGAACCCATGAACCATATAGTTTTTACCTAATCTCGGATCTTAGACATTGGCTTTCAGATTATGTATAAATCTCAATTTAAAAAAATTGACCCTTATGACTGGTTTTGTGGTCCAGGGTCACATTTGTATATTATAAAGCAAGAGTTGTAGTTTTTTATTCTCTTGTTGGCCTGATTAACAAAGTTCTCCGTAAAACAACCAAAATAAGCACCACAACTGAATAAAATAAATAACATATTATACGGACACTTCTTATTTAAGTGTTAGATGGTTTGTTAATTGCATTTAACAGATTACACTTTCGCAGTTGGGTTTGTAAAAGACGTTTTTATGCATGTTTGAGCTGATTTTTTGTTGCATTTACATCGTTTTGAACAGCAGGTCACCATTGTGTGGCATTTCAAGCGCTTCAAAAAAACGTTGTGCAATGCAACTGGTTCAATTGATTCAAAGTTTCCAAAAGCTTTGTTTCTTCCATCACTACAAAGTCAACATGAAATGCCATTTGCAACCCATTGCATAATACGACATATTTATGTGAAACAGCTCATGCATTTTATATGACTTATGACCACTGATATTGTTTAGAGCAGTCTTTTTCAGGAAATCATACACATCATAAAAACATGCTGGATTAAAGTTTAATGTGTTTTTGAGTCGCTGTGGATGCGGTTTGTGTTTTATATTCTAAGTGCGTGAAGGCAGCGGCGTGAACCTGCTGACTTTAAGATCAGATCAGCGCTCGACTTCGTGTTCTCTACCTCTGATATGAAATCCCAGATCACATTTTCAGAGCGCGTCCATCCGTCACTCCAGAGATAAACCGTGCTCATTATTGCTTCTGTCCTCACTCCAGTCCAGCGTGAACAGGCCGGTATGTTTGAACAAGACAAAATAATAATCAGCTTGCACATATCATTCATTATGCAGATGCTTTTGTCTAAAATGACTTACAAAATCATAAACAAAACCATAAACACAGGAGCCCACAAGTAGTGCAGCAATACTACTGCATGTTTGAAGAGCAGGCAAGAATAAAACAAAATCTGAGTTTTTAATTAAATGCCAAATTAAATCATATCTTTGGATTTAAAATAGTCCCCATTGCTGTTTTCAATTTTTCTCTGTCTGTCAGTTTGATTCTAATTAATGCATCTTGCAAGGTCTTTGTTAATTGTTATTCATTTCCTTGTTTGTTGATTTTGCATAATCATTCCCAATTAGTTATTTTCTGTCTATGGAATAACTTTAATAGAAAGATGCTCTCCACAGCCACACAGCAAAACGGCTCAATGGCATCATCTGCTGGCTACTCTAAACATTTACAACTCAAAAGTATTTGTTAGTGATGTCTGCAAAGGAAAGCATGACTATTCCTTATGCCTTAGGTTAATGATTTTAGCAAACCTCCAAATATGAGTACACCTCAGCATTAAAGTCACCCTGCACTAAATGTTTTACAGATATGCATAATTATTGATAGTACTTAAGATCATACTTGAAATGAACAGTTCATCCAAAAATTAAAATTTACTCAGCCTCGGACCATTCTACATGTAGATGAGTTTGTTTCTTCATTAGAAATGTAGCATTGCATCAGTGTCTCAGCAATGGATGCTCTGCAGTGAATGGGTGCCGTCAGAATGAGAGTCCAAACAGCTGATAAAAACATCACAATAATCCACAGCACTCCAGTACATCAGTTAACATCTGGAGAAGACAAAAGCTTCAAACCCATCATTAAGACGTTTTTAACTTCAAACCGTTGTTTCTGGCTAAAATACTCATGGCTAAAGTCCCTCTTGCGTTTTCCAGTGAAAAAGTCATCTTGTCTGAATCAGGAGAGAAATCTGCACAGACCAAACCAAAACAGCTCTTATCAAATATGTGGTGGATTTTGATGTAAGAGGACAACAGAAGATGGACTTTTCACTGGAGGAAGCGTTATTATAGATTATGGACTCGTATTTTGGCCAGAAGCAATGGTTTGAAGTTAAAACATCATAATGACAGATTTGTTTCTTACAAACACGCCACTTTTCACTTTACATTGTTTATTTTGGGGTGAACTATTCCTTTAAGATTTGCAGTGATTTGGTAAAAAACGCCCAGTACACCTTTAGAAAGTAGTAGTTGCATTTCAAGCCTAATCTAAAATCAGTTTTATGGTCTATTTAAAAATTGTATCAGGGGCCTAAAAGTCGTATTATGTCATTCTACACATGATGTCTTTCCAGCGGATGGGCTGCTCTTCATTTGTCTATCACAGACCATTACACAGTTATTGGGATTGATCGTCAAGGAGTTTTCCGTTATGACTCCTGATGCCTTTAAACGGACTTTAATGTCATTATTCGTTCGGCTTGAACAGCGTGGAGGAAAAGCAGCAGCATCATTGATCAAGTTCATGAGCAGAACACTTTAGAAACTCAAACATGAGAGCCTATATTAGCCGTTAGGCTTTGACAAGGTGGTTGTCTTTCTCTTACAGAAGATGACAGAAAAGTGGATCTGATAGACCTACACGAGTATGTGTGTGTGCATAAAGGAATCAGAGGGAATAGACCTTTGTCAGGTTAGACGTCATATTATGGCAAGCTGTTAAAATACTACCAGCGTTAAGGCCAATTCACACCAAGAACGATAACTATAAAGATAACTATATTACTGTCCACACCAGTGGACGATATCGTCTGTTTATTCTAAGTGCACACACGTCTGCCGCTTTAATTTATCAAGCTTGTTATAGCAGGATAGATTCTGATTGGGTGTCAATGTTTTTTATTATTCATCAGCTGGAAAAAAAAAATTCTGCCTTTATCGTTATAGCTATGGTATGGACTCTGCTACTCTATAATACTGCGAATGACTTTTAAACAATATCTTTATTGTTATCTTTATAGTTATCGTCCTTGGTGTAAACTAGCCTTCGTCGTAATTAAATTTTTTCTAGTAACAATTCAATTAGAGAGCGCTACAATTAAATTCTTACTAGTAACAATGCTAATTAAAGTGCTCTCTAATTGGAACTGTTCGTAAGAATTTAATTAGAGAGCGCTCTAATTGTAAACTTTACTAGTAAGAACTGAATTGTAGAGCTCTGCGATTTAATTCTTACTAGTTAAAATGCAAATACGACGAGCAATGCTGGGAACATTTTAAGCTAAAACGGCTTGCCATACCATATTGAATCTAACATGAAAACGAGGATTGTGAGGGATATAGATTTAGTCTTTACAATGGCACGCACTGAATGTCCTACTTCACATAATTTTCACAACTTAGACATTTCGTCAGCTGAACAATCAGCCTTGTTTTTATTCCATTCAGAAATTAAATATATGGCTCTAACCTGAGGGGGGGAATGTAAATGGTAGGCAAAAGGGTCAAACTCCATACAAAAAAAAACCTCAATAATAAACACATTAGGCCTAGGATAATTCATATAAATATATATATATTTTTTTTTTTAATCGCCATTTTACTTACGTGTCTGTGGTTAAATGAGTGAAATTTGTCCACACAAATGTCTCTTCATGTCTTTACAGTTTCTTCATAAACACAGCAATATTTTAATCGGTCCAATCAATCAAATGAACAAAATAAGAAGTTAAAAGTAAAAAAAACCAAAAACTAATTAATTAAAACCTAGATTGTCATCGACGCTCAACTGTCACGCGCGGATTCGCTAACATTTGAACGTAAATAACGAATATAACGAAATAACCGTCTCTGCGGTCTGCTGATGAGTCGCTCCGTCGAGATGAGTGGAAATAGCTCAAGTGACCCGGGACAAACACAATTTTCGGGCCTTAAAGATGTCCTAACAGAAAAGCTAACGTTAAAGGTGTATCCTGAAGAAGGCGAAAATGAAGAGAAAAATGAAGTTGAAACCTTCAGATGCGTGATACACCCCCGGAGTCACGTCAGGTAACGTTAACGTTAATTAATCACACAGACTCAACTAACGTTAGTCTTCCTCATGTAAGCTAGTATCGTGTCATGGTTCACTTTACATAAAACTCAATCACGTTCAGATTATTTAGCATATATGCTAATTAGAAGTGTGATCTTGTCCTTGATAGGCTTGTCTGTTTTTATCTCTAGCGTTAAAGGTTATTAACAGTTAGCATTCATAACATAACGCTAACACGGAACAAACATTTTTTGTAATATCATAATAAAATTGCAATTTAAATACGTTACGTTTGAATGTAAACGAATGTACAATTTAAATGTAAAATGTTACGATAAAATGAAAAATGTTACTCTTGCAGTTTAAATTAATACATTTATAATGTAAATAAATGTTTATAATGTATATAAATCCTGACCAGATGTTACAGTTGCTACTAATTATACTTTTACATATGGTAGGCTACTAAATGATTACCATATTCATGTTTCATTTGCATAGTATGGCATTATCACAAATAAATAAATAAATACCATGTTGAGCATGTATGACAGTGTTTCATTAATGCCATCACAGTGATCTGTAAAAATGCTTTTGCTTTTTTTCCATCTTACAGGCATTACTATCTTATGTTTATGGTGATCTTAACATTCGTGAACCTTATAACAATTCCTCTAGACATGGCATTTTCTGATGATATGCATGGTAACGCCCACACATACTGGGTGACCTTCAATGTATTCTCAGACACCATGTTTTGCCTTGATGTTGGCATTAATTTTCGAATGGGTATATTCAGTGACGACGGTCAGGTAGGAATGTCCTCATCCTCTTTTTTTTTATAGGTGTGTGTGTGTGAGAGAGTGTGTGTGTGTGAGAGAGAGTGTGTGGGTTAAATGTTTAAGCCAACCTTCTGGGTCAAAATAACCCAATTGCTGGGTTTGTCCCTATTT